CCCCCGCAAGAATCCATCCGAGATGTCGCTGCCAGCTTGGCCTTCGACGCCATGTCCTACTACAAGGGCAACTACTCCGACTACCCCAAGGATCTCGGTGATCTCCAGGACCCGTATTACTGGTGGGTCGCCGGCGCGCTCTGGGGCGCCATGCTCGACTACTACCACTTCACCAACGATGCCACCTACAACGACGTGGTCATCGAGGCGCTCCTGGGCCCGACCAACCTCGGCAAGAACGAGGACTACATGCCCGAGGAGCACCGCGACGAGGAGGGCAACGATGACCTCTTCTTCTGGGGCTCCGCCGTCATCTCCGCCGCCGAGCGCAACTTCCCCCAGCCCAACAAGGACCTCCCGTCGTGGCTCCAGATCGGCGAGAACGTCTTCAACGAGCTCGTCGACCGCTGGAACACCACCCACTGCGGCGGCGGCCTGCTGTGGCAGATCTACCCGGAGAACCCCAACGGCATGAACTACAAGAACTCGGTCAGCAACGGCGGCTTCTTCCAGATCGCCGCCCGCCTCGCCCGCGCCACCGGCAACGACACCTACCTCGACTGGGCCGAGAAGATCTGGGACTGGTCCGACGACGTCGGCTTCATCGACCCCAAGACCTGGCACGTGTACGACGGCGCCGACTCCAGCGACAACTGCGTCAAGACCAACAAGTACTCCTTCTCCTACACCAGCGGCATCTACCTGTACGGCGCCGCCGTCATGGCCAACTACACCAAGAAGCCCGAGTGGACCACGCGCACCGAGGGCCTGTTCAAGGGCACCGACTGGTTCTTCTCGCCCTACTCCAACTCCACCAACGTCATGTACGAGTCCGCCTGCGAGAAGGTCGGCCGCTGCAACACCGACATGTCCACCTTCAAGGGGTACCTGTCCCGCTTCCTGTACCAGACCACCCAGCTGGTCGCCTCGCTGCGCGAACCCATCGCCGCCCTGATGCTGCCCACCTCCGAGGCCGCCGCCAAGTCCTGCTCCGGCGGCGAGTACGGCCGGTCCTGCGGCATGCGCTGGTACGTCGGCGGCTACGACAACAACACCGGCCTCGGCCAGCAGATGTGCGCCCTCGAGGCCGTCCAGGGCCTCCTCATCGACAGCGCCCCCGCGCCGCTGCAGGGCGACGACATCAAGGTCATCCGCGAGACCAAGTGGAACCCGAAGATGAAGGTCAAGAGCACGCCCACCACCACGTCCGAGACTACGCCCACCGCGACCGAGAGCGAGGCCGAGTCTACCGAAAGCGAGGATGCTGCCAACATGCCCCGGGGCAACCTGATTCTGGCTTCGCTGACCGTCCTGCTCACCCTAGGACTGGCCTGAGAATAGAAAGGGAAAAGCAGAAAAGAACACGATGATACCCTCTCTTTTATGTACACTTTTTTTTAATAAAAAAAACCTAGAGGTTGGCACACGCGGGCTGAGCTTGTGCCAAAGAGGCGTTTCGCTTAGAGCACATACAACTGGACCCAGATCAGGGGGCACGCGCACCGGAATACATAGACTTGAGCCATACCATGACCATTGCTTCTATAATTTACGAGATTATGTCTAGTGGAAACTAGATCTATGCTAGAACGCCGTTTTTCGTCTGCCCTCTCTGTTGTGTCCCTCTTTCACATGTCGCATTCTACGATCCCCTCACCTCGTTCAGTGTAGTCCGCAGCTCTTCCAGGAATCGCGTCACCTCAGCCTCGGTACCGATGGTGATGCGCAGACATCCCAGACAGCCGTGCTCCTTGCCTCTGAACCGAACGACAACGCCCTTGGTCTCGGCCAGCTTCTCGTACACGGCCAACGCAGTCGTGTTGTCCGGAGCGCCTGCGGCATCGAGCATCTCAAAGAGCAAGAAGTTGCTCTCAGTGCCACCTCGCAGGCGGCCCACGCCAGGAATCTTGGGCAGCTCTGCGAGGATGCGGTCCCGCTGGCTGAGGATCTTGGCGCGGTTGTCGCGCATCACGGGCAGGCCCTTGTCGGAGACGGCGTAGGATGCGAGGGCGCTGGTAGGGCTGGAGATGTTGTAGGGGGCCTTGAGGCTGTTGAGGAGGGCGGCGATGGGCGGGGAGGTGAAGGCGGCACCGAGACGGATGCCAGCCATGCCGAAGGCCTTGGAGAGGGTCTGCATGACTACGAGGTTGGGGAACTCGGTCACCCACTCGGCGAGGGAGGCGTCCTCGAAGGCGAAGTCGATGTAGGCCTCGTCGAGAACAACGACGCCGTTCCATGTGGGGTGGTTCAGGATCTGCTGGACTTGGTCCTTGGCGAGAAGCGAGCCAGTGGGGTTTCCGGGCGAGCACAGATACACGAGCTTGATGTTCTCCTCGTTGGTGAGCGCATCGAGGATTGCAGGGACATCCAGAGCGAAGGTCGGCGCCGGCAGCAAGGGCACCTTGACGATGGCGACGTCGTTGACCTGCGCGGACACGGCGTACATGCCGTAGGTGGGCGGACAGGTGAGGATGCGGTCGCGGCCGGGGACGCAGAAGCACCGCAGCAGAGCGTCGATGGCCTCGTCGCTGCCGACGCCGACGAAGAGGTTCTCGGGCGTGAGCGTCTTGGGCGTGTGGGCGTGGGTGTTGCGCAGCGCGCAGAGCTGCTGCTTCAGCGCGGCCTGGTGAGGGTCGGGATAGCGGTGCAGGCCGAGGAAGTCGACGTCGACGCCGGTGCTGGCGACGTCGGGCGAGATGGACGGCCCGTAGGCGTTCTCGTTGGCGTCGAGGAGGATATTGGTGCCGTCATCCTTGTAGTCGCTGCGGCGGTCGTTTGGTTAGTCGCGGTGGTCGCGGGGCAGATATTGTTCACACGGCGGGGGAGGGGGAGGGGCAAGACTTGCTCTCTCGCGCAGCGGTAGGGCTGGAGGGCGAGGATGTTGGGCCGCGCGCAGGCCTGGAGGTTGAAGGGCGACATTGCGGCTGGGGAGGAGGAATTGAGAGGAATTGAATTGGCGGTGATCGACTTGGGTCGGAGTTGGCGCGTCGGGAACCTCGACTTAAGCATTCTTGATGCCCCGCCGACGCCGGAGGCGAGGGGGGAGAGTCATCCACTTCGGTGGGTCGCTGATAGGGACGGAAGAGCCAAATTCTATCTGGGCGGTAGAGTGGATGACTGCATCGTCGTTTATTTATCTGTCTCAGATGCCTGTATTTGCAATTTCCATCCGGTTGTTTAAGGCTTGGTGATAAAGTTGACTGACTCACTGACTCGCAATTTGTCAGTTTGTAGCTAGCATTGGAGGTGGGGTTGAAAGACGTGGATGACTACCCTGTATAAGAGAAAGGAATCATATTTGCTCCGATGTTCGTATCTGACAACACCGGGGTAGCACATGTGCTAAGGGGGGTAAAAGGAACAGGTATTTTTCCTCAATCTCTTTCCATACATATTGCCTGGCATGAAATCTCGGTTGGTTGCACGCGACTAGGAGGAAGTAATGTATTCAGAAACTTTTCGTACAAGGCGCTTCGACTGAAGAAGACACAGTATGTCAACAACAGTTATTCACGTTACCAAATCCAGGAAACATAACATAAAAAGCAGGAAAGGACTATAATAATGGTATATAAAACACATTAGTTGCTAATTACGCGTATTTATGTCTCCCTGGAAGAAGGTCAGAGCACCGTTACATGCTGCATGTCGACCAGTACAATGAGTAACGAAATAGCGTCACCTTCATCATCAATCAACCAATGGTCGCGTGGCCCAATGGCAAGGCGTCTGACTACGAATCAGGAGATCGTGGGTTCGAGCCCCACCGTGACCTTCTCTTTTTGGTGTTTCTAGCTTTTTGTCTCATCATCTCATTATTCCTCATTATAAGGAGCCCGAGCGCTCCTCTGTGATCCTTGCTGTCGTTATCCATCCCAGCGGTGTTGGTCGTTTCCCAGTCTATCGGCAAGGGGAATTAAAGTGGATGCTAGGTTTCACACATCAACGTCTCTTCTCGGCCGACGTTGAAAGTCGCTTTAGAAAGACGCCGGCCTGGTAACCTCTCTAACGTGATCACGAATACCAGCCGGTGACTAAGTGTCAAATTACACACTCTTACTACGACATTGGTTTTCTTTTGCTACATAACTGGTTCAAGCAAAGTTATACGTACACCCACGGATTAAATTCTCAGCTAGTACGAAAACGACGAGAATCCTAACAAGTTTCCGAAAGGTGAAATCTAAAACTCTTCAGCGTTGAATAAGCTCCAAATAAGTAAGGCAGAACACATCAACTTGAGTGAACACATTTATTACTCATGCACTCTCCATCTCCTATAACAGCTACTTCTTACTCACCAACCCAGAATAACCTCATATAACAGAAACATGACTTCATTGAGAAGTATCTCCCTGCTATGTAGAGGCATTGTGACCAGCCAAAGTGTCATCAGAGGCGGCCTAGGAGCCGTCGGCCATGTGCCGGGTCGCAGTTGCTGAGCCGCTGACTCCCTGGTTCATTATACATCTACAGCATGGCCCTCTTCTTTGAAGGCCAGAGATCAACCTGTGCATCATCATGTCCCTCCCTACCTTCGGGTTCCCAGCAAGGTCCCAGCGCGCACGGTGCGGTCGCCCGATCCACCAGCTTCCTTCACTGCTCTCCCTCCGGAATGGCTCATTACAGACATCACCACAAGCAAAAAAACTGAGCGCCTAATTTCATGGGATGATAAAAGTTAAGGTCACGGTGGGGCTCGAACCCACGATCTCCTGATTCGTAGTCAGACGCCTTGCCATTGGGCCACGCGACCGGTGACTTCGTTGAATAACTTGGAAGATTTTGCATACCATATTGTGGGGACGAAGTAACAAGCCAAACCAAAAAATAACAAGTCACAGTATGGAAAATACAGTTTCTTCTTCAATACCAGACAACTTCATATTTTGAGTTGGAAGTTCATAGATCGATAATTGCTTACTAGGTTGGTTACCTTGTGTTGCTGTTCTGATGATCGCCTGGATGTAAAGAGCATTCAGGCTTCAGAGCAAAAAGAGAGGTCACGGTGGGGCTCGAACCCACGATCTCCTGATTCGTAGTCAGACGCCTTGCTGTAGACTGTTAGTTACTGAAGTCATTGATAGAAGGAAATTGCTTACCCATTGGGCCACGCGACCGGGTGGTTTTGATGAGTTTAACGGCTCATCTCTGTGTTCTATGTGGGCATGGCACTCGATGTGGAGATATTGGACGTCCGTAGCTGCGGGGCCGCGGGGCCACGGGGCTTGTCACGTGGGCTGGTTCCAGAATTACAACCGTTGAGATGAGCTTGCCTTACCCTAGAGAGCCCTTGAAGTAGGAAGTGCCAAGTTGAAGTTAATAGCATCGTCAATGAGTCGCCCACGGAATTTCGAGTTTGGGAATACATAGTTTCGGAGTGAGGGTGGCCACCGAGAGCCTCTCAACCCACACACACCAGTCATTACTTCCTCGCCCGCTCCATCCCCCTCGGGCACTGCCGCTTGTTGCAAGTCTCTTGGCATCCTGAGCAGGCTTAGGTGCCATAATCATGTACTTGTTAGAGCCAACACTAACTATCTTAGACTCCTAGCGGGGAGAGGGGTGCGCGCGACCTTGGTCGGGACGGGTCGTTGGGGGGTTAGGAATCTCCTCGTCGCCATCGTTTTCCTCAACATCCTCATTATCCTCAGGATCAGTATCCTCTCCGTCGTTGCCCGCTTTATCTTCAGGCACGATTTTTTCGCTTAGCGCCTTCTTAGCGCCGTCAAGAACAGCTTGTATTACTCGCTGTCGCTTTGTGAAAAGAGTAGAGTCTCTCTTGACCCTCTCAACGACAGCCCTATGCACCTTCTCCATCCAATCCATAATCATCATGCGATTTTGGGCGGCTGGCTAAGTCAGCAGCTTGGCTAGACGCTGATGATGTTAATAGGTTTGCATAATGGGCGTGCTATCTCCACAATGGAGTCCATGGCTGTCGTCCAGAAAGGTTATTCCTCGGGGGTTGCGTTGAGCACGCTGACTGCAATGGGGGAGAAGATATGGCCGAGCTTCTTCATCCCATCAGCATGGTAGTCCATATTGCTACTAACGACAGTCTCGCGTTCCACCAGCCACGAGTAACGGTCAAAAGGCTAGTGTCAGTAGGCCTTAATGGCCTCGTAGATAATTTTTCAACTAACCGTAGCCCAGTTAGGCGCGTGCTGGATCTCCGATGCCTTTATAGTGAGTCAGAGTCAGCAACATCACGCCAAGGTCAGAGTCTTTGTCGCAATCAAGTGACTTATGTCATTAATGAAAGTGAATGATAAGTGTTCTGGCAAGACGAAGCTTAGCTACACGCATCACTCACACTCTCACCTGCTTCAGTGTCCTTTACGAATGCCAATTATTAAGCGTGATATACGAGTGGTCCTGATGTTCTAGTAATAGGCCGAGAATAAGTACGTTGGTTTCAAGATGGAGGAGGTATTCACTTTAGTTCCAATGCGAAGGAGGGGACTTCAACCCTGTGTCTACCCTTAGTTAACAATACGCATAGTTGAACTTCTCGCTAACTTAGTCTCTTCTATTCAACAAATGAAGGGCCATTTGCTCCTAGAATAAGGAAAGCAATTACAAGTGCGAAGAGGAACCAATCCTTATAAGTCTATGTTTTCGACCAGAATATTTTCTCGTCGCTTCAATGAAGTATGTAAGTGACTGGGGCAACCCCTGGTACGATAGTACAAGAAAGAGGTTCGCCCACCTTCATTGATCTTAGAGGCATGAGCGTTTAACCGGTCATCAAGCTGGGTGTGGACCGGAGGGCCTCTTCTCACTCCTCGCGCATATTCCTCCTCCGCCTGTTCCTTCATCTCACCCTCCAAAGCAATCTGCATCTTGGGGTAGAACATGCTATTGCTTGGATTAATTCATTTCCCATTCGACCACGGTCTGGCATGCTGTTGCTGTCGCGGTAGTAACGACGGAGCTTCTTCGATTTTGGCCACGTTTAGCGTGTTCATTTGTGAATACTGACACATCTATACTCTAATAACGGCACTTGAAACCATCAATAAAATAACGGTCGCGTGGCCCAATGGCAAGGCGTCTGACTACGAATCAGGAGATCGTGGGTTCGAGCCCCACCGTGACCTTCACTTTTTGCTCTTTCCGCTGTTCTTTCGCGACATGCTGTAAGTGACTCGGTTTGCAAGGTTGACATGACACAGTGTAAGCCGTGCCTTTCTTTCACCAAAATAGGTATGCGTGTCTCAAATTTAACTCAAGGCATTCGATGTAATTACCCCCTCGACCAATTGTCGTGGCGCTCTTGGATAGGCTAGCGCTATTGGTTGGTGAAAGAAAAGAAAATTCCCTAGCCGTTGACCAAAGCGTGAGCCTCATCTTTTGCCAACACAACAGGTAAGACAGCAATACAATTGCCGGCCAACTCTGACAACGTTTGGCCATAGTACGAATAAACGCGTCACCGCTCGACAGCCGCTTGTCTCACTTTAGCCGCGCTGCCCTGGAACGATCCTAGCATTGCTCGCCGTCAACCATCCTTACTGTTGGGCCCAGTCAAATCAAACTATTGCGACCCCCAGGCCGAGACGGTCGCACGCCACCATCCTCGCCGAACCCTGATCATACTACGAACCCCGGGACCAGGGCTCAGGAGCTTCAACCTTGTACTTATCACTCTGTGCTTTGTGCGCTGGGCTTTGTGCTTTGTCCAGTCAAGAAGTGTCAACCGGTCGCCGAGATATACTTGATACGTTGCATGCAGGGCGGCACCTGGTCGCACACAGTCCGCGTCCTCGGCGTCGAATAGCCGTGACGGAAGCGGTCAACCTCCGGCCTCATCGCCCCACACAACCTCGCCCAACGTCGTCTCAGCTCTGCAATTCCAATCCCAGCCCGCGTCCAGTCTCCAGGCCCTCGCCCGTTGTCTGAGCGTGTGTCTGCCCAGCCCGATCCCGACCCCGACCGACCCATTCATACGGTAGCTCAGCGCAGCGAGTGCCATCGAATCGACCGACCGAGTCGCGCCCATCGCGCCCATCGCGCCCATCCATCGAACCGTCAGTCGCCTGTCGCTTGTCGCCTGTCGCACCTTGTCGCAGCCTGCCACTGTCGCTGACGCCCTCCGCTCCGCACCGCGCGTCCTCGCTCCCTCGCTCGCTCCCTCTGCTGCTACCACTCCCGCCGCGATCAAGCGCCACTCTGCCGCCATGTACTCCGCCGGCTATGGCTTTGCCAACAATGCTGCTCCCTCCTTCAACAACGCCGCCCCACAACAGCCTGGAAATCAACCGACCGGCCAGCAGGTCATGTACAACCAGCAGCAACAGTTCGCCGGCATGGCTCCCTTTGCTCCCGGCGCGAACCCCCAAATGATGCCCGGCGGTCCTGCGGGAATGATGCCGAATGCCGCCATGCCTCACATAGCCGCCAATGGACATAGTAAGTCGCCCTCTTTGTTCCGGTCCCATGCCCATCCCGGCGCGCTTCAATACGCCCAGATCTTGGTTGAGTCGTTACGCCGGCTCTGCTACACAGCCGTTTGATGGACACCGTCTTCCCTCCATGAGAGGGTAAGGCCTGGCACAGAGCGCGCTGTTGGATAGACACGCGATCAGCGCAACGTGGAGTCGATAGTTGCTTACTAGTGAAAGTGGCAGGATATCAACCGCAATTCCCTGGCGCGCCCTACGGTCAAGTCTCCTCCTCAGTCGGCCCCCAAAGCTTTCCCCCCAACTATATGATGGCTGGTGGCATGCAAGGCTTTCCTCTGAATCAGGCGGGAATGCCTCAGCAGCCTCAGATGATGCACCGTCTGCCTCAGCAGCCACCACAACAACAGCAACCTCCAAACCCGGCGGCAATGGGCCAAGTGGGAACCCCCCAACGACCCCCAAGCGCCGCACAGGGCACGCCGAATAATGCGCCGCCTTCGCAACCGGGACAGTTCTCAACACCTCAACCTCCATCACAAGGACAGACCCCGACGAACCAGCAGCAACCGTCGGCTGGCGTGTCCACTCCGCAGACCCCAACATTCTCCGTGAACCAGGGACCGACCGTCAACGGAGGCTCAGCTGGGGGAACCCCTCTAAGCCCTGGAACAGAATCACGAGACAAGGAGCGTTTTGCTCTACTACTGGACATCAATCACGAACTGCTGTACGAGTCGATCCAGATCCAGGCGACGCAACAAGAGTTAAAAAAGGAACATGCCGCCGAGGGCAATGGCAATGGTAATGGAGGAGAGAAGAAGCTAACAGAGGAAGAGACTTTGTTCCAACAAGATTATCTTCAGTATGTCAATTCCCACCACATTGTAGAACAGCACTAACATATGTTATAGATGCATGCGGAGGCTACAGGCCAATCTTTCATATATGGCAGCCTTGGCGGACAGGAAACCCGAGGTCAAGGCCCCTCCCTGCCCGGCGTATCTCAGCGCCCCTCCTCTGAATCTCTCTCTCAAGCTGCGGCCCCTAGCCGCGACTCCTGATGGCTCTGAGAATAGCATCGACCCAGTGGCAGACCGAGATGAGCGCGACAGGAGCATCAAGGACCTGTACACAAGGTTACAGGCCGTGTTTCCCGGATTCGACCCTAAGAAAGAGCCACTCTACCGCATGCCTCCACAGACAGGCGGACCGCAGGGCCAGAAGCCGAGCGGGGCGATGAGCGCAATGGCGAACCAGGGTAGCCCGACAGGTCAGAGGACGCCTCAAATGACGAACATGCCAGCGCCGGCGATGCATCATCCTGGTATGCCCTCATAGTGAACAGACCACTCCAGGGCCGAGGCCGCGTGTATATATGATGAATTGTTCATAGACGCCACGACTCTGGGAGCTTGAAGGGTGCGAAGTCGTACTACGTGTCTACTTGGTACTTTTAGCTTGGGAGGTGGATGTAGATTCGCGCGTGCCGTGTTTAAAATGTTAAAGAATGAGTGTTAACGAAGCCCAAGCTCGATGTTGGAACCCAGGCCTAGGGCATAAATTCCAGACATTGTGGGCAGGTATGAGAAGGCGGAGTGAGGCGATATGCTGTGATCTTGTTGTATTGTGCTGGATACCAGAGAATGGGAAAACGGCGCTTGCAGAAGGTACTATTTTCCGGAGAGGGGGACTGGTTGAGTGGCGTTTACGGG